GAATCAGCCGCAGGCTCCGTCGAGCATCAGGCAGGGGTTTTGGCCCCGGCGCAGGTAGGAAGGGAGCTGAGGGGGAGCACGTGTACCCGCAGACCCTGAACTCGGTGACTCCCCACCTGGACGTGGAGGAGTGCAGCATCGCTCTCCTGCCCCGCAACCGGGAGAGGAACCGCAGCATGGACGTCCTGCCGCCCGACCGATGCCTTCCCTTCCTCATCTCCGTGGATGGAGACAGCAACAACTACATCAACGCGGCCTTAACTGACGTGAGCGTGCTGCGGGGAGGGAAGGGGCCGCTTCGGGTTGTCTCGGGCAGCTTTTCATGGTAAAACCTCGCTTGGTTTGAATTTACGGCCTCGTTTTGCACGAGGGCACGAAGGCACGTGGCAGCCCCCAGCTGAGCGCGGGGGGTTGGGGCTGGGGTCCTTCAGCACTTCTTTTGTGGAAAAACATCTTGCTTGTCTTGAAAGAGCTTTTTGGTGGCTCTCACAAGCTGCACACAAAGGGTCTTCATGTATTTTGTAGCAAAATGGAGCGCAGGAGGGAGAGGAAGCTCTGGGAGGGGTTGGTAGCACCGAGACCCCCGTGTGCTGCCAGCACCCTGCCGTGCGTCCTCCTGCCCGTCCTCCTGCCCATCCTCCTGCCCATCCTCCTGACGCGATGCAGGGGTCTCTGAACTGCTCCCAAAGCCACCGTGCACCCCCCCCGGTGCGGTCAGAAATGACACCCGTGATGGCAAAGCTATTTCCGACCTGCTGACGACCACAAAGCAGAGCAGAGAGGATGCTGCAGGCTCCGAGCTCGCACGGAGCAATGGGTCACTTATCACCGAAACCAGTTTCCTCTTGAAACAAGCCGGGGTGCTTTGCACGAGTGGCGCTGAGCCCTGCCGCACCCCGGGCACCTTCCCCGAACTGTCCCCCCCCAGTTCAGCACTGGCATCAGGCTGAGCCCTGTGTTTTCTTACCCCACTGGTGATTTATCTTTGTGCAGATCTTGTCTCCCTGTTACGTGCTCTCGCAGCAAAAAGCAGTTTGTAAAGCAGAGGTGGCTTTGGCTACGGTGGGATGGGAGCTTTGTTTTCAGCTTGCTTGGTGTTTGTATATCTATTTTATTTTTATACACCACTGAGCCTCCTTTAATCTCTGCTGCAGGGTCAGAGAATAGAAATTCCTTTAGAGACAGAAAAAGCCCTTTTGATGAAATTCTCGCTGAAGGGATAAAACCCATTTCCCTCTTTGGGGGGGGGGAAAAAAAGTCAAGTCTCGTTTTCTTTAAGTGCAAAGCAGTTTGCTCAGTCCATCCGTCTGTTGGATGAGACTGGTCTGTGCTGCCCATCACCAGTGCTGAGCAGAGGACTCCCTTAGCAGAGAGCTGTGCTAATTTGCGGGCACAGCGCATGTTCTGGTCTGTTCCTCTATCTGAAGAGGCTTTAGCTAAAGTGTGTTAATTTAAAAGTCCGATTGATGCAGTGCTGAGCCTGGCTGTGAGGCCCCCATCCCTTGCCAAGCTGGCGTTGGGATGATCGAGGGGTCAAATCTCCTTCGAAGCACAAACAAGAAGTACAGTCATCTTTTTCCCCCCCTTTCTTCTTGCAGTCTCTAAGGGTCTTTCATTCTGGTTTCCCTTCCTCCCCCAGAAGGCCATTGACCCCGTTGTCTCTTTGCTGCTCTCGGTGCCCGGACATGGGGTGGGTGGGGGTGATGGCGTGGGTGATGCTTTCACTCGGAGCTAAGGGCTGGGGCCATCTGTCAGCCATGGCTTCTGCTTGTTCTTGGCTCGAAGGTGACATCTTCCCCCTGGTTATTTGTGCAAAACACCCTTCCTTGCAAGAACCGAGAGCAGAAAGTGGGTGCTTTCATCCCCACCACGGGCAGGGGTCACTTAGATCTGGTTTTATAACATCTCCTGAGCACCAGGGCACGGGGGGAATGAGGCCGTGCCAGGGACGCCAGCTCCACTCAAGCATGGAGAAGATGGCTTTGGTGGCACTCATCTTCTGGTTGGCACTGGGTTTTTTTTTGGGGTGTGACAGCAGTGGCTTCAGTGCCACCGCCGTGTCCTTAACAGTGCTCATCTTCCCTCTCCACAGAGCTACACCAAGAGCGCTGCCTTCATCGTCACCCTGCACCCGCTGCAGAACACCACCACCGACTTCTGGCGGTTGGTGTACGACTACGGCTGCACCTCCATCGTCATGCTCAACCAGCTCAACCAGTCCAACTCCGCCTGGGTGAGTGCTGCTGCCCTGGGGACCGCGCCAGCCCTGCAGGTGGCCTTGTCCTGCTCCGTCCCCACCACCTTGGCAGTGCTGCAGCCACTGCCTTGCTCCCTCTCCTCTGCAAGGGGAGACAGGACTGGCTGGAGAGACAGCTGGAGCCAAAGACACGTGGCAAGAGCAAACCAGCCGGGCTGCGTTGCATTGGCGTCGTGTTGGCGTTGCGTTGGCATTGCATTACTGTACCGTCATCTTTGTGGATGCTCCAGGGAGATACAAGGTTATCGACAAGTATAACCTTGTCGTTACAAAGAACTGATTTTTCTCCTCCTTTTACAAAGGGGAAACTGAGGCACGGGGGATTTCCCGTGTCCATCTTCCAAGGGGACTGGTGGCTTGTGGATGCCTGCTGCAAAGCGGCTGTCCCGTGGGTTTTGCGGTGTGATGGGATGTGCAGATCGGCCAAACTGGAGGGGAGGTGTCCATGCTCAGTCTCACCTCGCTTTGCTTTCCCAGTGCACCACTCCCCAGGGGAATGCCTGGAGCGCTCCTGCCACCACCGGAGCGGATGTAAAAGTCCGCTACAGGTCTGTAATGTTAATTCAATGAGGAAACTTACTGGATTTTTACATAAAATTAGCATTATAGGCTCTTAATGGATGTCTGGAGAAGACTTCATTAGCTGGCTTATTTTACGAGTTGAGATCAGATACTTAATGTAAATGACCCAAGACGGCAGTTGTATTGTTTGTCGCAAGGATGCAGATGGATGCAGCACGGGTACTGAGTGGTGTGTAAATATATTGGTGTTTATT